AGGACTTGGGGGTACTGGTGGATGAGAAGTTTAACACATGGTGTCAGTGGGCACTTGCAGTCCAGAAAGCCAGTCGTATCCTGGGCTGCATCCAGAGATGTGTGACCAGCAGGTCGAGGGAGGTGATTCTCCCGCTCTGCTCCACTCTTGTGAGACCCCACCTGGAGTGTTGTGTCCAGTTCTGGAGCCCCTACTACAAGAAAGATCTGGCCGTGATGGGACGTGTACCCGGAATGCTGGAACGTGTCCAGAGAAGGGCCACGAGGATGCTCAGAGGGCTGGAGCACCTCTCTCTCCTATGAAGGCGGACTGAGAGAGTTGGGGTTGTTCAGTCTGTGGAAAAGAAGGCTCCGAGGAGACCTTATTGTGGCCTTCCAGGATCTCAAGGGGGCTACAAGAAAGCTGCTGAGGGGCTTGTTAGGATGTCGGGTAGTGGTAGGACTAGAGGGAATGGGTTAAAGCTAGAGATGGATTGATTCGGATTGGATGTTAGAAAGAAGTTCTTCCCCATGAGGGTGGTGAGACACGGGCACAGGTTGCCCAGAGAGGGGATGGAAGCCCCATCCCTCAAAGTTATTAAGGCCAGGCTGGGTGGAGCTCCGGGCAACCTGATCTAGTGGGGGATGCCCCTGCCCATGGCAGAGGGGTGGAACTAGATGATCCTTAAGGTCCCTTCCAACCCTGAAAATTCTGTGATTCTAGTTTTTTTTTAACCAAGGCAGTAAGGAGGTTCTGTATAGGCCTTATAGCCACTAACATAGCACTCTTTAAAATTGTTCTGACAGAAAGAGCACAAGGAATAACTTGTTGAACTTAAGTAGACCAATACAGGAAAGGCTTGATTAGGCCTAGTCAAATCTCTTTTACACATCAGCACTTATTTAGGTATCCTAATGTTTAGCACAGTGCAATTAATTGCTTATTAAATCTAAGGTCTTAACTTCATCAACATGTGAATAAGAGGGAAATAATGGTTGCTATGAACCTGAGACCTGAGAGTGCAGAGACCTTTGTGACTTCTGTGACAGCACTGTCTCTGAGGTAGAACAAGTTTTAAAAGTAATTTTAAAGAATTTTATTTACCTGGCTTGAATGGCTCTTACACAATGCACAGCCCCAGGGTGGTAAGTACACACACTCCCCTTTTCAATGTCACAGCCATAATCTGTCTGAAAAAGATCAAATATTCACACTTAATATGGTTCTTTCCCCATTGTCTCCTCTATTTTTATGTCCTCTTCCCACCAGTATATCTGACTTTTTTTCCTCATGTGCTTTTAACTCTGTAATTTAAAATACACATTATGTTTGAAGCTTAATAAGCAGGAAAAGATAATAACAAAAAGTATTTTTTTTTACATATACTTAAACACGCAGACACCATTTGGTATGATAAATAGGAGAGGACGTTGCCCTGTCTGATCCTCGGTTCAGTGTGTAAGTGAAAACATGGACTGATTGGAACTGATTTTTTTTCACTTTTGTCAGTTCCTTACTAACAGTGAAGCTGAGAAGGAGGAGGGAAGCAGGAGACAGGAAATAATGGATTATGGCTGTGGACTTGAGTACAAGGTGCAAGGGTTTGCAGAAAACTATGATATACTAGGCAGAAATGTGGCCTGCTTCTTCCAGCACGGGATATTGCCTGCAAACACAGACCACCACCTTGTATGATATCGAAGAAGTCATCCCTGCTCCCAGATACACAGAGTTCACTGCCCTCCATGAGCGTTTTCTGTCTGCCACTGGAACTACTATCTTAATTCCCTGTCTGGAGGTGATTTCCATCTGCTGTCCTACAGGCATTTTTTTATTCATAGGCATTTTTTTTATTCATACCACTTGGATAGGCTATAGCTGCCTCTGTCATTTGATGTGCTCTTTGTGCAAATTTAACTGCAACTTCATTTCCTCATAATGACTTCTAGAGTGGGAACAAGGGTGTGTAGCAAGTATGACGTTCCCTAAGCTTCAACTTGGAACTGTAATAAGCCAGAAGGATCCGTTAATAACTTACATGGAACCTGCCAGTGTCAGCTCTTGCTTGTGCCAAGGTGCAAGGGCAATCTATAATTTCTTCTAGGAAGTTTGGAAGTTTCTCCTCCTTTCTGTCCCATTCCATACATTTCACAGTTGCCCATCCTCTTGGGTCATTTCTGAAGTCTTTCCCAAGGTGCCAAGCCAAGGCATGCTCTGAACTCCAGATTGATGGAATGTTGCTAGGAAAAAAAAAAAAACCAACCCATAAAAAAACCCAAAACAATAGATCTGATAGCTGAACAAGCACTGTTTTGACAAAGACACTGTGTCACCAACTCTTATTACTTCATTACATAGGCCACTGCTGTTTCTTGCCTGCCAAAAATTACAGGAAAAAAAATAATCCTCATTTACAAGGTGACATGACAGCATGCAGCAAGCACACAATAATCAGAGTACATTTTAGCATTTGTGATTCTGGCTTACATGGGGCTTTTTAGAGACAGGTTTTCTATTCATGCCTTTTAACATTGTAGTTCCATTTAGGCCAGAATGAAGAAAGTCTGGATTCTCTAACAAAGCCTAACCCTGGGTCTCAGAAGTATCAGGCCTGAAACCATTCAGAATCCATTAAATGTTCCAAGCCTACTCTGCTCTCCACCCATGAAAAAATATCATACATGAAGCTTAATAAAAAAACCGCCTAGCTCTAGAAAGAGAAAAGGCTACCCTTCTGTGGGTAGCGACACCTAAATGCCAAAAAATGTTGGATGTATTAGTAGTATGTTCTAACACTGCAAGAGGTGGCATTTATATATTCATAGGGGCTACACCATCTACATCGAAAACTGCAGAGGTGGAAGAATTACAAAATAACATCTATGCAAGCTCAGACTAGGTATGGAACACTCAGAATAGGTATGGTAAATCACCAAAAATCATGGGGAAATATACAATGAAGTAAAAGGAAGTGGCCATATAACTCATAGGAATGTGTAGGCCCGCGTACAAAATAGAAGAAAATGAAATGCTGATAACACACAAGTGTTTTAGCTATTGCTGAACAATGCTTGCACAGTGTTAAGGCCTCCTCTGTACCTCATGCTGGCCCCTGGCTAGGGATTGGCAAGGGGCTAGGAGGGAGCACAGTCATGACAGCTGAACCAAATTGACCAAAGTTATATTCATAGAAACCATAGAATGGCCTAGGCTGGAAGGGACCTCAGAGATCATTTTAATCCAGCCTCCCTGTCGCCAGGGACGCCACCTCTCGACTAGATCAGGCAACACATGGGGACTGAACGGTAATCGAACCCGTGACCTTGGTGTTGTTAGCGCCACGCTCAATATTCCATGCCATAGACCATCATGCTTGGCAATAAAACTGCGGGGCTGTTTTTCCAAAGCAGCCCTTACCGCGTGACTGACTGTGCATCCGTCTGCTTTTGGCACATGGTGAATGATTGTTTTGCATGACTTCCTTATACCCACGTGCCTCTTTACTTGGTAAACTGTCTTTTTCTCAATGCATGAGTTTTACTTACTTTTGCCCTTCCAATTCTGTCCCTATTTTTCAAATGAGAAACAGAGCATGAGTCCCAGTTTGAAATCTCAAAGAAGACAGCAGTTTTAATACAGGAAGTAATAATCAGGTATCTATGATAAATGAATGTTGTGATGTACTTGCCTCTGCCCATCAGAATAGCTGCTGGGTGTAATTCTCAAAATTCCAAAGTCCCATGTACTGTAATTTCCTTCAGCAGGTACAGGAGTGAAAGAATATTTCCCAGTATTAGGGATTTTTCTTGCCAAAGTGTAAAGATACTTCCATTCGGCCAACCAGTTTTCTGAGTAACTCTCACCTGTCACATAGAGGAAGAAAATAATTTTGGATGCTCGAAAAGAACAACTACCACAAGGTTGAAATTATGAGAAGCTGACATGATTGTCGTGAGTTATTCATACTTGCAGATCTCTTCTTGAGACCTCAGTGAAAGTGATCCCACGCTGTACAGAGGTCTGCATGTAAGTTACACGTGATGACTGCTTGTGTGCAGGCAGGAAAAGCATCACTTTACCTGTTTCCTGGTATCCCCAGACTTCTAAGTTGATGTAGGATGTTGCAAGCGACTGGTGTGTCCAGGTAACAGTTAAGTTTCCATCAGTGTTGGGGGTGCCGTAGTATTGCCATTTTGTCGCATTTACCAGTGTGCATTTTTCGCCATCTGAAACTTTGCTGTGATGTACTGCATTACAGAAGAGAAAAAAAGGCTTAATGACATTTCTGCTTTGCATAGGTCTGAAAAGGTGTCATTATGTTAATATTTAGCAGTATCTCCCCTGTGTGTGTTTTCTAATAGTATTCATGATATAAAAAGAGTAAGCTGACACTGACTGTGTTTAGATTCACCACACTATGATGCAGTTATTTTCTGATAGAAGTAGCTACAAAAAGGGAACTGTTTTGATCGATCTCGTTTTCAAGCAGGACTCGTTAGTAGTTAATGCTGCTGCTGCTGTACAGCAGCAGAACTCAACTGCTGTCAAAGTTCATCTCTCAAAACATGAATTCACACGAGGGCAGCAAGAATGCCTTTTCTGAGGTCAGATCGCCTGTTAAGGAATAAGAAATGTGGTCAAGAAGGAAAGGTTAATGTAATCTTGCATCTATGGAACAAGAATATAGAAAGATGAGAGCCACTGTAGATTTTAAGTACAGAGAGAAGAGGGATACCATAGATGTAGGTAAGTAACCTGATAACCAAGTTCCAGAATATGGAAATGTCCGCCCATTGTCTATAGAAACTTCAAAAGGGATGAAACCAGTCTCATACAGTAATGGGGAGATGCAGTGGGCTTTTCCATCCTCGGCAACATAGCCACTGGTTTCGATTTTCTCTTTGAACCTGTTGATGTTGAGAACATATTTTCGTGTCACCACTAAGAGAAGGAAAATTCTGAACTTCTCAGTTATGTTTCATTAAGCAATCTTGTGTCATGTGTAGATCGTTCCAAGTCCTGTGGTTGTTTTGCTTGTAGCAGTGAACATAAACTTGAAAAATTCATGTGTATTTTGCCCTTATTACACCAGTGTGGATTCTACTGTGCACTGCACAACAACACAGCAATCTATAAGCCTTAGATTTTAATTATTGGGGGAAGATGACATGTTAAATTAGCAACAAAAAACAAAATACTGCAGGAAGACAAAGGTGATTCTATAGGATTAATAGAATTAGAGGGTGGCTAACATTGACCATGATGTATAGGAATTGCAAATTTCTGCGTTTGTCGGATTTTTTTTTTGCGAGCCAGTCCTATAAATACAACAAAAATAATTTCATGCTGTTCTAGAATATCTGTTGCAAAGATTAACTCAGGACTTGTTGCTTGTTATTTAACTATCTGCTTCCAGTTAGGGCTCTTGCCCAGTGTGCTCGAGTACAATCCCACCAACCACTTTGCAGGATAGATGTCTGGTGACTGCGTAAGTACTCCAAGTATTGTGGGGAGTTGTGGTCTGCGAGGAAATAGTACCTTCGTTTGTCTGCACTAAAATCTGGATTTCTTCCACAAAATGGAAATGCTAAAGAAATATTGACAACAAAGACCCCCAAAAGAAAGCTTTTTTTTAAGAAAAGTTGCTATTTGGGTATGTAAAGGGAAGAACTAGCAGAGTAATGATTGTATTGCACAATAACTTGACCCAAATGGAATGATCCTGTGTAGAAATACAGACAGCATGTATCCTTGAGAAGGAGGGTTAGCAGAATCTTTGCATGTTTCAGGATTCTGACAACTTTACAAAGGAAGTTTTCACTCCTGTAAAGACTAGTCTGGTTTTGTGGTAATTACCTATTGTCAGAAAGTGAGGTTGGAAAGGTTCACCTCCCTTTAGCAGAGGAATATAAAATCATGGCCTACCTGCAGGTGATCACAGAAGAGGCATTAAGAGCTGTATTTTCAATCAAAAAGTCTTTGCCTCCCATCAGAGATCCTGAATATGGAGAAATTTGAAGACAAAACTCTTTATAATCAGGACAGCAAATCCCCAAGGACTGGCATGTCACTTGGCAAGAACAGGTACCAAGCAGCTTCCCACACTGGTGTGAGCAAGAGTCTTCAGCTCCTTGTTAAAGGAAGAAAAAAACAGTCAGGAACGTTATTGAACTCTTCTAGAAGTTCTGCGAAACAGAAGTATAAAAGACTACTGTAAATAAATTAAGTAGGCTCTGTTAGTTTAGGAATACATTTAGATGAAAGCTGTAATCACCTGCATAATAAGGCTGCTCATTTTAAATAGAAAAAATACACTTAATTATCTCCCAGCCAGCACACAATTTCAGAAGTAAAAAAAGAACATAGGTAGAAGCGGCAAAATTCTTGAAAGTCACTCACTTGCATTCCAAAGAGCAGTGAGGGTGAAGAGAATGAAGAAAGAAACATCTGTGCCAATGAATTTCATATTTTGTCCAGATGATTCAGCATGGATGACTCCAACAGCCTTTGTGCCCGTCCAGGAAAAGGCTTTTATAGAAACACGTGTCCAGAAATAAACAAGATTCTCACTGTTCAAAGGTTTGTTGTGAATTACTGAAGCAAATCCAATCAAAGAAGATGCTTCTTTTCTGAGGTCATCTCCAATTCAGGAAAAAAATGGAAGGGGGGGGGTAACTCCTACCCATTATTTTAATAGTTACATTTTTCTGAAATGGAAGGAGGTTTTTTATGAGCATTTCGGCTCCAAAGTTCAAGGCCACACGGTCAATAGCACAAGCTGTATGTTTTAAATTTATTGCAGGAACTAAAACCAGTTATCAGTAAAAAGAACGATAAAGAGCAGATGCTGACAGTACAACTTGGTTCAGCACTGCTGGCCAATCGCCAGCAGCTCCATCACTAACATGAAAACTCCCCACGCTCTCCTTGCTTTGTCACTCCTCTGTAAAGACGCTCCACTTTCTCTCCAGGAGAACGATGTGCTCGGCCCCGTGCCCCCATCCCC